AAATAGTAATTAGGGTGATCAATATTTCAACACCATCAAAAGCCAAGAAGACCTCTCTTTAGTATCTAGAGTTCATTACTGTTCCGGTACAGTAGAATTGATTCCTTCTGACTTCCACATGTGTTTTTCCTGGTTCCCCAAAACAGATAGTTAATTTACTTTAGAGTCTGAGGAATAAAATACTTTTATAGGGTGAGACAGGATCAAACTGACCACAGTCCTTTGATTACATTTGAAAGTTAAGCATCTAAGAAAAACTGGATATGAACAGATTTAATTGAGAACAAGACTCATTGTTAGATGTGATCACTCTTAACTATGAAGAGTTCTATTCATCGGTTGGTGTATCCTGACTTTGAAGATACAGAAACTCCATCTCATTATGTGATGAGAGGAATTTTAAGAGCTAATTTGGCAACTAAGCACGTTCAATAGTTTAATGAAGGTAAACGAGGCTCTCCTTACCAGTGGACAATATAATAACAGGATTTTAAGTAGCTGTAATTAAAGAAAAATGACGCAAAAAGAGGGAATACATATTACAGATCACATGATATTCTCTAGTCCATAAGCTTGTCCCACACATAAGGACATTTTTGCTCAAAATCTTACCTTGAACAGTATACTAAACTCTCCATCTCTGACACCACCACGAGCAACCACAACAGCTACTATGGAAGCCTCAGCTATGGCTATGAGGCTTTAGGGGACTGGGCTATGTCTGTGGATGTGGCAGTTTCCACAGACTGGGCTATGGCTGTGGCTTTGGTGGCTATGGATATGGCTTTGGCTATGGAGGCTATGGGTATGGCTATAGTCGCCCATATTCCTATGGAGGAAATGGGTGCTCCACCTTCTACTAAAAGGCTGGCTTGGGAAATCAACACTTGAGACCATGAGAAGGTTTACCAAATCTATCAAATATTGAATCAATATCACTTTGGACTACATCAAGAAAACTTGAAGAGTCCACAGTTTTAAAAGGACTGATCATTTGGCCATGCTTATAGACATACTTTAATTTGTATAGAAGATTCTGGTTTAGTTTGCAATAAATTATTCTACTGGAAATCAGCACTTGTGGTATTTATTTATTTTATCATTTGTCCATGGGAATGCTGTCCCTGGCTCTTGTCTTATGTTTTGTTTACTGGGTGTTTTCATATAAGAATAGATCCAGTCACCAATAACCAATACTACCAATCAAGACATTTGAATTCATAAGAATTCTCTGACTTTTCATATTCATACTCTAAGCCTCTTTCTAATATATATTATTCTAACATATATAATTCATTACATATAAAGTTTAATTTGGTATAAATTTGAATGAATAGTAACAAATGCTGTCAGTCTTGCTTATTAATCATAGAAATAGAATCCTTAGCCCAAGAGAATTCTATACCCAGCTAGAGTAAACTCTTTGAGTCCATAATATTATTTTTCTGGATTTGATCAAAGTAATGATATTCCAGTGACTCTACCGGAGAATTACACTGTTTCACAGGTAATAACAGAAATATTGTTTTTTCTTGTTATTAATAGAATTTATCCCTAATAATGCTAGGGACTAACTATAATTGTAAATAAGGGTGAGCTGTATAACATCATGCACAGTGAATGTATTAGACACTCAGTACAATGTAGAATTATTATACTATTAAGTATTGATTTATTGCTTCTGTGTATCTATGCAGGAACAACAGGAAGGATTCAGAATATCTTATTTTCTGGGGAACAGATATGCTTATCTGACGGATAACACAACAGGCTATTGGACTCCAATCAGGTAAATAATTAGCCAATCCAAGTAAGTAAACTGTGACTTTCTAAAACCTGCTTGATTTATTTGTGGCTTCACCTTCAACTAAGGAGGATAAAATATTCAAATTAGTGTTGCTTTTCATTTCAAATAAACAAGAATAAGAATATAGGAAAATACTAATGTATAATATGATCAAAAACTCATGTGTGTGCTTGGATGCATGTGCTTGAGCGTGTGCACACACACACACATACACACACGTGCAGGTGAGAGGCCATATAGAAGCCAGAGATCACAAATATGTCACCTACAGTGACAGATAACAATGATCCAAAACCATCATGTGTCCTCTAACTCAAATTTCAAAAATAGTCTGGCATTTCACAGGTAACAGATATCTTTTTTTATTTAAATTTGAAACAAAGTTTATTTGCCCATCAATCCCAGTTCCCTCACCCTCCCATCCTCCTCTATTACCCCCACCAAACCGCAGCCCATCCCCTTTCTGCTCCCTGGGTAACAAACATCTTCACAGGTAACAGTGGTAAAATTAAAGATTATAAAGATTGGCTCTATGAGTAAAGACATAGCGCAGAGGTCACTTATGTTTAAACTTGACCTTGAGGCCATATGTGAGTCAAGATTAGGCAAGTGATATCTTTATGATGGTTGAAAGTCACCTCTAGTATTATCTTTTCTACTCTAGGGTTTTGTTTTACAACATGGTTTTTTTTTTTTTTTTAGAATTTTCAAGGTATTCTCAGTATAAATTGTTGTTGGATTTTACAGTCATTTGTAACAGAAAATTCTCAACATCTGAGGTCCAGATAAATATTTATTGCCTTATGAGGCACCAGTTAGGTAGTATCATGTAAATAAATGCATAGTAGACAAATGGAAAGAAACATAGCACTGCAATTCTGTTGTTGAGTTTGCTTAAGAACGGCTCTTTTTAGGCTCAGTGGGTCCAGATTTTGAAGACAGAAATTTCTTTCTATGAAAGTCCAGAGATCTACAAGGATGACCTCAATTAAGAATCTAAGCAATAGTGGTGAGGCCATTCCCTGATAATGAGATTGATGACTACCTTATATGCCATCCTAGAGCCTTCATCCAGTAGCTGATGGAAGGGAAAGCAGATACCCACAGCTAAACACTGAGGCTTCAGGGTCTAGAGCTGTGCTGCGGTAATGGATGGGAAGAACGTGCAGTCTGGGGCAGGGTTATGCTTGTGGAAACTATGGTTGTGAGTCTGGCTATGGGGGCTGCAGGTACATGTCGACACCCATCATGTATAGGATATGGAATCCCTGGACTCTATTCAATCATTTTCATATTCAACATTTAAACAATAAGAAAACTTTCCAAATATGGCTTCGCTCAGAGTTCATTGGGGTTTTACTTGTGTACTCAAATTGAATAGACTGTACATCTTCAGTTTATGAGACCAATGACAGCACAATGTAGAGTTAATTTTGTTTGTAGCTGGCTTGGTTTTCTCTTCATCTTCTAGAAAATCATTCGAATTTGGGAACAAAGTATGATTTCTGCTCATAAGTTTAATTATGTATGCAAGCTAGTGTATCTTGACAATTTCATTGTGAAGGAGAGAGCCCTTAACCATACAAATAATAGATTAGGAGTGAGTGAAAAGACAGCTTCAGTAAGATCAATAAGTGATACTTTCCTGTTCCTTTCACTAGGTAATACTCATATTCAAGTCAACAACAAGCAGCTGTCAACATAACTATATCTTCATATGTTACAAATGTTTTATTACACTTAGAAGAATTTCTCAGTTCATCCATTCAGCAAGTTTGGCCTTTTAATTATAGATCAATAGAACATTTTAGATTAAACCATATCATTAAGCATCTATTTTCCTGTGAGTGCATGCCATTGTGCACATAAAAACAAGAGCGTGACTGAGTCTTTTGTCACATGCACACTCCTGTCACATTTGCCTGCCATTCATAAGATTCCTCAAACTTTTCAATGTACTCACTGCTGCTGGAGTTAAAAGTGACTCATTGAAAGACCTGGAGAGATGGCTCAGCGGTTAAGAGCACTGACTGCTCTTTGAAGACAACCTGGGTTCAATTCCCAGCACCCACATGGCAGCTCACAACTGTCTGTAACTCCAAAATCTGACACACTCACACAGACATACATGTAGGCAAAACACCAGTGCACACAAAATAAAAATGACTCATTGATAAGGGGATAGTTTTCTCCTCCCATCTTTTTTCACACATGAACAGTAGAATAAACTTGTACAAAGCAGCAAAAGAATTTACCTGAAGGAAGTCTGTTTTAAAAAGTAAATAAAGTAAATTGGTAATAACTAAATACCCAGTTGGCACTAGAATAAACAAAGAATGAATGAACATTATGAGGTAAAGAGCGGTTTGATACAGAGGAGGGCTACATGAATATGAGGAAGAGGAGAGAGGGAGGAAATTCATGAAGCAAGGATCTTGAGAAGCTTAGACAATGCTGTAGGTAGAATCCAGCCTCTAGACATGATAAAATCAATAATGGTATAAAGAGAATATATTTGAAAAATATATTTAGGCTGGTTACAGAATGAATTTAATGTCTAGATCATCCTTTTGTTTCTGGGTTAAATTTTAGTATTCTGAATTTTAGTATTCTGATAAGCCAAGAAAATGTTTGTTGTTGTTGTTGTTTATGATGATGAATAAAGTAAAATAGTTTTTATTCTACCTGTAATTTTCTGTTTCGTTTTATGTATCTATCATGATTAGGCTCATTCATCTAAAACATGTCTTCTTCTTTTGAAAGAGTTCAGATGCTTTGTTTGTCAATCTGAGAAACACATTTGAATATTATGGAACATTAAATGAATGAAATAAAATTAAGAGTGAGAAAATATGAAGAAAAATGGCTGCCTATATGGATGATATGATAAGCATAATAATGAATTCTATAACAAGAAACTTAAATTCTCTAACCTTGAAGGCATTGACATTTCCTCATAAAAACAGGACACAATTAGTTCAAGGGCATTCTAACTAGGCAGAGAAGCAAGCTAAAATATTTTAATGAGTTATATGCCTCCCTTTGTGTTAGCAAACAGATTAATGAGGTGTCTCTAGTACATTAATAACTTGGAATGAAAGAAAATAGTGCCTACGGGTTTTGTCACATGTTCAGCACAGAGTATATAAGCTTCCCCTACACTTGATGACATTCACACTCAGGACCTTACCTTGAACAACAGATCAAACCTACCTCTCCTGACACCATGAGCTACTACAGCAGCTACTACCGAGGCCTGGGTTATGGCTATGGAGGCTTTGGAGGTCTAGGCTATGGCTATGGAGGCTATGGCTGTGGATGTAACAGCATCCGCAGACTGGGCTGTGGCTGTGGTTATGGAGGTTATGGTTATGGCTCCGGCTACGGAGGCTATGGATACGGCTCTGGCTATGGAGGCTATGGATTTGGCTCTGGCTATGGAAGCTACGGATATGGCTGCTGCCGCCCTTCATGTTGTGGGCGATATGGGTTTTCCAGCTTCTACTGAAATCCTGCTATAGTAACTCAGAATTTGATTCCTTGACTAAATGTTCTGAGAAATCCCAGTTAAATGGCTGTGATGGTCCTAAGATTACTGGGCAGGTGAAATCCTTGAGTGGTAAAGACTCCATTTATAAAATGTGCCTGCATTTTAAGCTTGGGGAACAAGAATGAGTTTTTGTCCAATTGTCAATAAATGATTCAATAAGAAATTGACATAAAATTTTTGTTTGTTTCAATTCATTTATATATTAAAAAATATTGATATCTGTTAAGTACAACACATTGCATACAAGAATATATATGCATGTAAATAAGCATGCAAACACACAAATATATACAAACATACACAAAGACACAGACACACACACAGACATATATATATATATAGACACACATATATATATATATGTAGACACACATACACAGAGAGAGAGAGAGAGAGAGCAAGAGAGGCAGAGGGGGAGGAATACTTTAATAGTAATGAAACAGTAAGGAGATAGAGATACAATCACCCTGACTTGACCAACACATGCTGAATACAAGTATTAATATATTACACCTTACCTCATTCATTTGTAACTTTTGTCAGATCAAGGCCTATGTTAACACTTGCCTCTTTAAAAAGCTTATTCTGTTGAAATGGAGAAATGAATCAATCAATCAATTGACAAGTTATCTACTTAGGAAAATAACTAACCAATCAACAATGCTAAAATACAACTCTCAGTGAAAATTTGTATGACCTGCACTTACAGTTTATGCTTCTATAAGTTGGGACGGACCAACCAGGGTTGGACCAGTGAAACAACTCTCAGTAGTAGCACTGTTAAATGATTAGTTAGGTAGCCTGACCCAGCATCATAGGATTTCCCAGGAGGTGTTTTCTTTCTGAATAAGATAATACCCTCCATGAATAGTTACCACAAGACTATAAAAGAGAAAAATAATTTCTAATGTTGATATTCTTAGTTTAGTCAATAGTATCACAATTTTTTCTTTAAGATTTATTGAATAATGTCTACGTTAAGAGGATAGAAAAATATGAAATTCTCAATAAATATTGCGAAAAAATAGTTTTTGTCTTGTGTCCATAGGAAAGTGGTGGTTTTGGTATATCTTCTTCAAAGTACTTTTTCTTGCTTTAGTGGATAAATAAATAAATAAATAAATAAATAAGCAAACAAACAAACAGAAATTTGCATGACATAGTTTTACATCTCCCATAAAGATGCATTCTGCACTAGTCAAATTACTGAAAGGGTTTGTCATTTGTATCCCACATATAAGATTTGTATTCCACATATAAGATGATATTTTTTGTGACAGGTTTCCTCTGTGTAGCCTTGGCTGTCATGGAGCTCACTCTGTAGACCAGACTGGCCTCAAACCCACGGAGATCTTTTTGCTTCTGTCTCCCTAGTACTGGGATTAAAGGTGTGTACCACCACCATCTGTCTATAGGATGATCTTATGTCTCAAAATATTGGGGGAAATGCATTTATAAACAAGTCCCAGAGCAGTAGTGTGAAATTATTAGCTGTGATTTAATTAGAGTTCTAAACTACCTTTCCAGATGGTCTGACATAAAATCATAAACTTAGAACAATATGAAAGTCAGGGGTGGGGTTTATAACTCCAGTATGTGATTCATGAGCATGAACTTTAGAGATGTCAGTATCTGGCTGCAGTTTCAAGAGGCTGTGTCTGCTTCTGAATGACGTTTGGCTAGAATAGCACAGACTCCAGAGAAAGGTTAGTGTTGGTGTATTGTTGTATCAACTACAGTAATATGGCTGGAGTTCATGTCAGGCTGAAAGCATTTCTTAGAGGGTCTGATAAACTGCTCAAGCTATTATCTCAATGGGCTGTGCTTTAATATCAAGGCTAGTCAGTCATATATGCCTGCCATTCATGTAGTTTTTAGAGTGCCAACTGACTGCTAAGCTACATAAGGTCAAAAAATAAAAATAAATCTTTCCCCTTCTGTGAGGGACCTTGTATGAATCTCTTAGGTTCCTCCTTGTATCCTAATTTCTCTGGTGGTGTGAATTAGAGACTGATGATCCTTTGCTCTATGTCTAAAATCCATATATGAGTGAGTACATACCATGTTCCTCTTTTTGTGACTGGGTTCCTCACTCTGATGGTTTCTTCAAGTTCCATCCATTTGCCTGCCAATTTGCCATTTCAAGATTCCATTGTTTCTGTTTTGTTTTGTTTTTTTTCTGAGTAGTATTCCATTGTGTAAATGTACCACATCTTCTTTATTCATTCTTCAGTTGAGGGGAATCTAGGTTGCTTCCAGTTTCTTGCTATTACAAATATGAACATAGTTGAACAGATGTCCTTGTTGTGTGGATGTGGATCATTTGGGTATATGCTAAGAGTGGCATTACTAGGTCCTGTGGTAGACTTATTCCCATTTTCCTCTTGAGCATATTGGGAGTTGGGGGGGGGGGCAGCAGTGAGTAGAGAGGGAATTAGGAGAAGGGGAAGAGAGAACATTTGGAACCAGGAAGATTGAGTTAGTGGACAAATAGAAGAGAGCAAATAAATAAATAAATAAAGAGAGAGAGGTACCATAATAGAGGAAGCCATTATAGGTTTGAAGAGAAAACTGACTCTAGAGACATGTCCAGAGACCTACAAGGAAGACCCCAACTAATAATCTGAGCAACAGTGGAAAGGCTACATTAAATGCCCTTTCCTGGTAGAACCCTCATCTAGTAGCTGATGGAAATAGAAGCAGGTGCCTACAGCTAAACACTGAGTCAAACTCCTGGAATCCAGTTGCAGAGAGGGAGAAATGGTAAGAAAAGGGGTCATGACCAGGTTATAGAAACCCACAGAGACAGCTGACCTGAACAAGTGGGAGCTCATGAACCCCTAGACTGATAGCTGGAAAACCAGCATTGTACCAACTCAGACCCCTTAAACATGGGTCTCATTTAGAAGGCCTGGGCAGTCTAAGGGACAGTGGAACCAGAATGTGTCCCTGGTGCACGAAAGGACTTTGGGAGCACATTCCCCATGGAGGGATACTCCCTTAGCCTTGAGGCAGGAGTAAGGGCCTAGACCCTAGTCCAAATGACTTGGCAGATTTTAATAATCCCTCCTGGAAGCCATCACCATCCCTGTGTTGTGGGGGGAAATGGGAGGAGGCAGGGGTCATGGAAAGGAGGGAGAGGGAACTGGGATCAATATGTAAAATAAGAAAAAATAATATACATATGTATGTATGTATATATATATATATATACAAAACAAAAAACTTATTATAACAAAGAATGTGTCCCTTTATAATCATAAGTACAATATGTCATTCAAAAATTATAATAAACATCAACAAAAACTTAACAGTGTAGTAATTATAGTCATAAAATAAATTATAAGGGACTCAGATTTCAAGATGTGGTCACATGTGGGTGAGGTTTGGTCAGCTTCAAATTCAGCCTTGGGCATTGCCACCTCACTGGGATGAGCCAAGGGAAACTGAACACCAAGCGTTCAACATTCTGAGATAGCATCTTATTATCCACTCCCCTGTTCTGATTGTATATTACAGTTACTGAATTTTAGATCTTTTAGAGTCTTACAAGTCTTATTAAACGCTCAGAGGGTTTTATGTTTGAAAGTGGGTTTTATGTAATAAATAGCATTATTAATATTTTGGGAAGGTTCAGTTGGTACTGTAGGAAATGCTATCTCAAAATAATACCTAAAAGTGACTATAATGACAGAAGAGCACAAATACGCAATGTGGTGTGAAGGGCGCATGCCTTATCCTGAGTGTGGAGAAGTAAGCAGTTTTGACTTGAATGAGGAGGCTACAGCCTTGACCATTACCTCCTCATCTCTTCACTTGCGTAGAGAAAAACACTGGAAATTTCATTAACTGATATGTGAAATGAGACTTGAAAGACACAAATCGCCAATAACAACTCAAGAACAAAAGGGACCAGATGAATAGATCAGGCACAGATGTCACCTGGGGGAGACTGAGGCTGGATTCCCTATGGAGACAAGGAGAAGGAACTAGGGAGAGCTCTGCCAAGAAGCCAAGTGGATTTTTAATCACTGCCATTGTCTCTCTGTCTCCACTTGTAACTCAGTTGTTAAACAAAAATAAATATTGCATAATTGAATGTAAACCCTCAAATAAATGTGGCAAGCATGCATACTCAAAGTCTTATCCTTCTAGAAATCAGGTGACAATTCATGGCTCTTGACAGTGAGTCAAGTCCTTCCCTCACATGACACAAAATATGTGACTCTTTTGAAAACATTGATACATTTCAGTCTTGATCTAAGCTAATTTCCAAATTTTGTGGACTTGAAATATAACCATGTCCCCCAACAAAATATGCTAGAAAAAAATTAATTTCCATTCAAGAAAATACTTAATATGTTCAGTATTGTTTAATAATAGCAAATTTTCTTAAGGTCTAAAAGTACTCTTTCTAATAAGGTTAAAGCAGTAAGTTCTGAAACAAACTCACTAGGTAGCCAAATAAAACTTCAACATCCTCAACAGATGCTGGTCAAATGACAGTGGATGAATGTGTTGTCTCGGGTAATTAAAATTCATGGAATGGCACAAAGGAGGGGCCCAAGCTTCCTCACATCTTCTGCCCAGAGTATATAAGCTTTGCTGTAGGTGCTAGTTCTCACACACAGTCTCTCCTTAAACAACAGAACAAATCTACCACTCCCCGACACCATGAGCTACTACAGCGGCTACTACGGAGGCCTGGGCTACGGCTATGGAGGCTTCGGAGGTCTGGGTTATGGCTATGGAAGCTATGGCTGTGGATGTAACAGCATCCGCAGACTGGGCTGTGGCTGTGGTTATGGAGGTTACGGTTATGGCTCCGGCTATGGAGGCTATGGATACGGCTCTGGCTATGGAGGCTATGGATTTGGCTCTGGCTATGGAAGCTATGGATATGGCTGTTGCCGTCCTTCATGTTGTGGAGGATATGGGTTCTCCAGCTTCTACTGAGTGAATTGCTGAAATTAGAAGCAAACAGGACACTTCCAAATATGTGGTCCATTTTATTTGCTCATATGCCAGAGACATGCATTCCATTTCCCCCGACACCAATAGGAATGCTCAAGCAGCTTCTGTGACAATTTTGTGTCTTTAACCTCTGTATCCATTACCAAAATGCATATTTAATATGAATAATACTTCAATGTACTCTTCCTGTTTTGGTTTGTTTTTAATTACTAATGCCATATTATCTTTCGAGTAATATAGAGAAAATTTATGCTTTGCTGTTATCTAATAAATTTTTGAAGTGTTTACCATTATTCTAGCATCTTATTTTGCAACTAATATAAAAATTTTATTAGGAAGTGTTGCTGATCAGCAGCACTCCATGTTTTGATGTAAGTGATTCTAAGCCATTTTGCTACACAAGTTTAAAACATATAGAATGTCTTCTAAGTATAACCAGAATACCTTGCTTCTATTTGCTCCCTCAAGACATAAACATTCTCAATTGACTCTAGTGTTCAGTCACTACAGAGAACATCTGCTTGTGTTCTGCTATGGAATACTGTTATTGGCTGCATCTTCTTAGGGTAGCATTGCTCTAACAAATCACAACATTGTCTATTGCTATCTTTTATGTTAAGGAATCTTAACTTACTTTCCTTGGTTTCCACTGAGAGCTATGATGCCTGTGGTGAACATACTATGTCAGAAACATGACCAGTGCCAAAACTTGTCACATCACAATAAAACCACCTGGTGATGGAAATCCAGAGGAACACATTTGCAAGAAAAACTGCTTTTTCCTGGTATTGTGGCAGAGGGTAACACATGCTTTCTATTTTAACATTTATTATCATTTTAATTTTGTGTATGTCTGAATGTGTGTTTGTGTGTCTTCCAGTGGGTACCTACAGGTGAGTAAATTTACACACAGATGCCAGAGGCTTTTGATCCCTCTGGAGTTGGACTTACAGGTGGTTGGTTGTGTATTGCCTAACCTGGGTGCTAGAAACTGAACTTCTGTCCTCTACAAGACTAGTATGAACTCTTACCTACTGAGCCATCTCTCTAGCCACATTAACACAAGTTTTTTTTGTTTTGTTTTCACTCCAATGGTAATAACTAACATTAACTTACAAATCACACACCACATACACACAAGGTACACGCACGTGTGAACAATTATGCACACACACATTTTGTATGTTATAAAGTGACTACTGAGAGTAAAAAGACAGAAAGAAGTTTAAGAGTAGGTCGATGGAAATCAAAACAAACTTTGTATTGATAGGATAAGGGACCAAATAAGCTCTAGGGTAGGAGCTGAAGCAACAGCCATGCTGACATGTAGAAATGGACTTCAGGGTTGACGACAGCTGTAGAGGACACAGCCAGGTCTATATCCCTATGACAGGGTAGATGGTAGACCCATACTGACAAACATACAGTCAACAGCAGACCAAAGGAAGCTGAAGCCCAGCAATAGTTATAAGCTCTTTACTTCATTGTCTTTGATGCACATGCCCTCATGTCCCTTGGAGTCAACACCATCATGTGTCTAGGTGTACACATTTTATTTATTTATTTTGGTATTCACATGGAGTAATTACACCTTTTCTTTTCTTTCTTTCTTTCTTTATTTATTTTATATAACCAAGTCCATTTAAATGAAAACATTTATAGACAATATTTGGGAATTTGGGCGTTGTTCTTTCCAAACTACTTCCTGCTGGTAAGGGGCGATGTCATGGGGGATTCGAAGAAGATTCAGAAATCCTGGCTGTAGTCTGCAAGGGTGCTTTGTCCAGTTGTTTTGAATGTAGGATCACCTTGTACTCTGTTTCAGGCGGTCTGGCGTGATCAAACCACATTAGTCTGGAAGGAATCCACATCTTTTCATTTTCTGTGGAAACAAAAATAGAAATCCTTTTCCCCAGTAACTTGTCCTTCAACTTAAATTTTGGAGTCAAAGCATTTTTTTTAATTTAGTTTATCATTTTACATGTCGATCCCAGTTCCCTCTCCCTCTCTCCCTCCCTCCCTCCCTACTTCCCTCCCTCCTTTCCTCCCTTTTACCCTCTCTGCCCTCTCACATGCACTCTAACCACCCTCCCATCCCCCCACCCCAATTCCATATGTAGGGGAATGTCATCCAGTAGGGGTCATGTAGATCTGACAGGTCATGTGAAGTAGGGACTAGGGCTTCTCTCCTGTCTCTAGATTAAGGCAGTTATCCCTCCATGGGGGAAATGTTCACAAAGTCTTTTTGTGCACCGGGGATACATCCTGGCTCCACTGTCTGAGGTCTCTTAGACTGCTCAGTCCTTCTGGCTGAGACCCATATTCAGGGGGGCCTGAGTCAGTCCCATGCTGGCTTCCCAGCTATCAGTCTGGTGGCCCGTTAGCTCCTCCTTGTTCAGGTAAGCTGTCTGTATGTGTTTCTGCCACATGGTCTTGTCCTCTCCATCTGCATCTGGGTTCTAGTTTGACTCAGTGTTTATGTATGGGTGTTTGATCCTGTTTTCAACAGGCATTAGTTGAGGGCTCCATGGAGAAGTTAGTTGTTAATCTCCCTCTCCAGGAAGGGCATTTATGATAGCCTTTCCACGGGAGCTCAAATTGTTAGTTGGGAGCAGTCTTGTAGTTCTTTCCATCTTTCTTTGTGTTCAATTTTATCTTCAAACCAATATTGGCTCCCTCTTTTATGTTCTCTCTCTCGGTCTCTGTCTCTCTCTCTCTCTTTCCTATCTTCTATTCCTAACCAGGCTCAATCTTCCTGGTCGCACATGTTTTCCTTTCCTCCCCCTCATTTTCTCCTACTTCTCTCTCCATTTTCTGCCCCCCCCCACTTCACCTGAGCTCTGGGGGACTTGTCCCTTCCGAGTTCTGTGAGGGACTTTATATGAATCTCTTAGAATACACCTTGTATCCTAGTTCCTCTCTGATGTATTCTTGAATTCGGTTTGCCAGTGTTTTATTGAGTATTTTTGCATCGATGTTCATCAGGGATATTTGTCTGTAATTTTCTTTCTTAGTTGTGTCTTTGTGAGGCTTGGTACCAAGGTTATTGTGGCCTCATAAAAAGAGTTTGGCAATGAACCTTCTGTTTCTATCTTGTGGAACAGTTTGAGGAGTAGTGGTATTAGTTTTTCCTTGAATGTCTGGTAGAATTCTGCACTGAATCCATCTGGCCCTGGACTTTTTTTGGTTGGAAGGCTTTCGATGACTGCTTCTATTTCATTGCGGGTTATAGGCCTATTTAAGTTGTTTGTCTGTTCTTGATTTAATTTTGGTAAGTGATAGTTATCCAGAAATTTGTCCATTTCCTTTGAATTTTCAATTTTTGTGGAATATAGATTTTCAAAGTATGACCTGAAAATTGTCTGGATTTCCTCTCTGTCTGTTGTTATGGTCCCATTTTCATTTCTGATTTTGTTAATTTGCATGTTCTCTCTCTGCTTTTTCGTTAATTTGGATAAAAGTTTGTCTATCTTGTTGATTTTCTCAAAAAATCAACTCTTCGTTGCATTGAATTTTTTGTATTGTTTTCCTGGTTTCTATTTTGTTGATTTCAGCCCTCAAGTTGATTATTTCCTGGCGTCTATTCCTACGGGGTGAATTCGCTTCTGTCTGTTCTAAGGTTTGCAGTTGTGCTTTTAATTCTCTTATGTGACTATCCTCTGTTTTCTTCATATGGGCACTTAGTGCAATGAATTTCCCTCGTAGCAGCACTGCTTTCAAGGTGTCCCATAAGTTCAGGTATGTTGTGTCCTCATTCTCGTTGAATATTAGAAAGTCCTTAATTTCTTTCTTTATTTCTTCTTTGACCCAGGAGTGGTACAATTGCACATTGTTCAGTTTCCATGAGTTTGCAGGTTTTCTGCTATTTGTGTTGTTGTTGAATTCCAATTTTAAAGCATGGTGGTCTGATAAGATACAGGGGACTATTCCTATTCTCTTGTATCTGTTGAGGTTTGTTATGTCACCTAATATGTGGTCGATTTTAGAGAAGGTTCCATGTGGAGCAGGGAAGAAGGTATATTCTTTTGTCTTTGGATGGAATGTTCTATAGATGTCTGCTAACCCCAGTTGAGACATAACTTCTGTTAATTCTTTTGTTTCTTTGTTGAGTTTCTGATTTGTGGTCCTGTCTAGTGTTGAGAGTGGCATATTGAAGTCTCCCACTATAAGTGTGTGAGGTTTTATATGAGCTTTGAGTTTTATTAGTGTTTCTTTTACTAATGTGGGTGACTTTGTATTTGGGGCATAGATGTTCAGAACTGAGACTTTGTGTTGATGGATTTCTCCTGCGATGAATATGAAATGACCGTCTTCATCTCTTTTGACTAATTTTGGTTTGAAGTCTAACTTGTTAGATATTAGGATAGCTACGCCTGCTTGCTTCTTATTTCCATTTGATTGGAAAATCTTTTCCCAACCCTTTACCCTGAGGTAATGTCTATCTTTGAAGCTTAGATGTGTTTCTTGTATGCAGCAGAAGGATGGATTCTGTCTTCGTATCCATTCTGTTAGCCTGTATCATTTTATAGGTGAGTTAAGACCATTAATGTTGAGGGTAAGTAAGGACCATTGATTGTTGATGCTTGTTTGATTTAGGTTTGTTGTTGGCAGTGGTATTGTGAATATATTAGTTCTGTTTTACCCTTGGTTTCTGGTGTAGTTGGATTATCTGTTGCCTACATTTTTGGGGGCGTAGTTACCTTCCTTGGGTTGGAGTTTTCCTTCCAATACTTTCTGTAGGGCTGGATTTGTAGATACGTATTGGGAAAATTTGGCTTTGTCATTAAATATCTTGTTTTCTCCATCTATAGTGATTGAGAATTTTGCTGGATATAGTAGCCTAGGCTGGCATCCGTGTTCTCTTAATACTTTTAGAACATCTATCCAGGACCTTCTGGCCTTGAGGATTTCCATGGTGAAGTCAGGTGTAATTTTGATAGGTCTGCCTTTATATGTTACCTGTCCTTTTTCCTTCGCTGCTCTTAATATTCTTTCTTTATTCTGTATGCTAGGTGTTTTGATTATTATATGTCGAGGGGTCTTTTTTCTTTGGTCCAGCCTATTTGGGGTTTGGTATGCTTCTTGTACTTTCATGGGCATGTCCTTCTTCAGATTTGGAAAGTTTTCCTCGATGATTTTGTTGAATATGTTTTCGGCACCTTTGAGCTGGGCTTCCTCACCTTCCTCTATGCCTATTATTTATTCTTAGGTTTGGCCTTTTTATGGTGTCCCACATTTCCTCGATGTTTTGTGTTAAGGATTTGTTGGATTTATGATTTTCTTTGGTCGATGA